GGTGCAAGTTCCGTGTATCCAATCGAAATGAGGCTTTTGCATACACATACATTCTGGGAGAAGGCCATAAGTTACAAGCTGTTATGGGTCGAGGAGGTAGAGTCAAAGATTTGCCTGGTGTGAAATACCGTTGTATTCGTGGAGTGTCCTCCGGGACATCCGATAAATTTGGAACGATATGGAGGAGATTAGCATGGCCCCTGCGCAGTCCTTTCTGTGTTGGCAACGGAGAGGTAGGGGGAGGAGGAGAGACGGGGGGGGGGGGGGGGAGGAGGAGAAAATACTAGTACATCCAGCTTATTATCATCAGCATGGATCGCTTCATTCTTCTTTTCTGGCGCTGAACCTAGGATTCCTTCGGCAGTAGAGGATATTTGATACCAGAACTGGTTGTGATGGTCAGAAGTTTAGGTTAGCTGGGGATCTGTCGAGAGAGGAAGGCATTTTACTGGCCGATCGGGGACTGCCGCCAGGTCAGCGAGGGTTGATGCTGGGGAGGGTCTCACTGCCCTTCATCCTTCCTAGTAGCACGTTGGGGGAGAGAGGCCGGGCTTCGATCTGGGAGCTTGATTAGGGCAGCTGGATCTCCAATTTGGATACACGATAGTGCAGAGTGAATCAGGACCAGATAGTAGTGCTAGATCTGGCATCCAACAATGGATGAAGAGGTGATGATTCACCAAATACCATCTCCAATTGTGTACACTTGCATATTCTTATTGTAAAAAGGATGCTGGACCCATTTTACAGCAGGTGCAGCTCCCCACCAATAGATGGAGCCTCCCCCAGGAGTGCTAGTGATGTCTGCTCTTACCAACACCACTCGGGTTGTAAAAAAAAAAAAAAAAAAAAAAAAAAAAAACAGGCTTCTGAAAAAGTTTGCAATTGCACTTTGGGCACCCTACCTGGCCAGAAAGTTGGCTTGTATACATTGCCCAAACTGCAATTAGAAACTGTATCTTGGCCCATACTGTTCAATTTCGAAGTTCTCGGCACTTATCCTCCCTTCAATGACATTTTCATACACGAGTCGAAAACAAAAAGCATGACTTTCGAGGTTGAACCTACAAAAAAAAAAAAAAAAAAAAAAAAAAAGAAAGACAGAAGAAGAAAGATAAGGATTGGTAGGTGAACGCTTTCAAGCGGTTCTGAATCTTTCTTATCGTCTTCTTAATTGTAGCTGGTGAACAGCTTCAGAGTCCAGAGTCCAGACTTTATGAGGAAAAACTAGACTCTCAGTTCATTATATCATTCTCATGTAATCGTATAGAGGACGCTGGGCCCGGTTACCAGGGACGAGCTGCTTCCCACGGATACTAGATCAGAGCCTTTGTTATATTAAACCACCAGCACTTCCTAAAGTCAACATTAATGGACGCTGGGCCCGGTTGCCAGGGACGAGCTGCTTCCATGCCCGTTAACAAGCCAGAATTTTAGGGAAACGAACGGGCCGCTACCGGAGCGCCCAAATTCATCAAACTAGAGTAGAATGTTTCTACTAAATTTTTCTGCCCCCCCCCCAATAGCTGGGCCAAGTACTGGTGGTTTCTCAGAAAAGGATGACACGCATAAATTTTGAATTGGTCCAAAACAAACATACCCGTAAAAAATGGGCGGGAAATCCTGGCCACAAAGAACAAATATCGAGTTGGTGGGGGATGTGGCCTGGCATCCTCTCACAGGGCTCCACCAGGACGGAAAAGGAGGTACTTCTCTCCGGCTATCATTCCAAATGTTCTTCTCACTAGGATCCCTTCACACTGGATCTATTCAAATACTATAATGTGAAAGGATCCCATCAGTGCCCTCCAATACACAGACTTAGTGCTCATGACCAACTGGCATCACCGATGCGCCTTCGGAGGGAAACAACAAACTTGGTTTCTTGGATGCAGGAGCTGCAATATTGGACACCATGAGAACCAAAATTTATGAAGCATTCTCGGAGGAAAAAAAAGAACAAAAGTATGAAGCATGGCAACACTTGAAGAAACACGATCTCAATAAAAAATCTGACCACATAGCAATTGCAAACCTAATCAAGTCTTTCCAAACAAGCTTTTTCTTTTTTTTTTCTTTCTTTTTTGATAAGAACAGTCCTCACAGCTGCTAGATATTCACCCAAATAGAAAAACATTTGTGAGCTCGCACAAATAACAGTACGATCTGCACCATGACCAAAGTCCTCAATCCCTCTCGTTCCCAGTCCACTCCTCCTCCTCCTCCCCTTTTGCCTTCCTAACCCATAGCCACCCCGCGTACAGGTAGAGGATTGCTCATGTTTCCCAAGGACATTTTATTAATGAACTCGATGGCTTACTTTCGTTCCCTTACTTTCCAGGTAAAAGGGTAATTTCGTTCCCTTACTTTCCAGGTGACTTGAAAATAAAAAACACTACATGTGAAATCAGCCACTTCAATGTATCCCTGAGCATTGTAGACCCCCTCGATATGAGATGGACGCAGCAGTGTATATTGAGGGAGTCTTCAATGCGCAGAGATGGATGCAGCACAATATACACAGTGTGATGCGGCAGGGTGCAGCTCTTACTTCATTCACTTAGGATGGATGCCTCACTTTCATCCGCCCTCGTGGCGGCAGCACTATGTAAGATGGATGCAGCACTATATACACTTGGCGCAGTACTGTGCATAACATGAATGAGTGCGACCCGGTGTTGCTAATTCGTGAGCCGGCCGGGATTTGGGCTGGATGGCAGTGGATGCCATCTTAAATACTGTGTGAGTCAACGCAGGGCTATGCTCCCCGACTGACTGTGGTGATATGTGCATGGGTCGGCTGTCACACTAGAGGTTTGGATCAAGTGCTCTACGCTACCCTCTCTCTCTCTCTCTCTCTCTCTCTCTCTTCAGCGAGCACTGTGTGGGGGGGGGGGGGCGTGTGTGGTATGTGCCCCAAGGACAAGAGGCCCACAGGATGTCCTGCGCCAGGGCCCAGTGGGAAAGAAAAGTACAGAATGCAATACCCACATGAACTCTCCAGTAATTGGTCAAAATGAGGAAAGAAAAGTACGGGTTTGACCAATTTTACAATGTTGATGGAAAACAAAAGCTGTACGTTATACTTACACAGATCCGTAAACCACCATGCAGGTCCGGGTTGAATGAAAATGAGACAGCCAGGTCAGACTCGCTCAGATTTCGATCCATCCCTGTCATCCTGCAAGGTACGCAGTTCTCTCAGTACCTGTGTCTCTGTTCTTTTTTGTGACAGCTTGCCACACAGTCTAGGGAGCAAGAACCAAGGTTAGCGATCCGACGCAACGGACTCTATTCCTTGATGTCGACTTCGGGGTTAGCCCCCTCGGTACATTCCCCCAAGTCTGAGACGGGGTGCCACACAAGGGCATGTTTCCACCTGCCTGGCTTGGTCGTAATGGACCACATATTATGAGGATCTACCGCTGGGAATACATAAAACAGCATCCGTATTCTTCGCTCCGCTCAATAGATGACAGGGATCTTGCCCCTTCTGTTTTTTCATTTATCTGTCCAGGCCATAATCGCCATTGATGATTAGAAAATAATGACTGTTCTTCTTATAGTCGTTTCTTAACCGATTATGACCATCTAAAGTAAAATGTGTATTCCCTTACCATTCCTCTTTTTTCTGGGTGTTTATTTTTCCTCTTCTCTTCCAACAAAACAAAGTTGTATTCACTTGTACTTCCCCGAGAACGCGCTGCGCGCAAAAAAACAAGAACGACCCAGCACGCGCCTCCTTTTGAAAAGAGTGGCTGGGAACGTACTGGCCAGGAAACGTCCTAGAGGGGGCACTACAAGGCAGCAGTACCCTCAGGCTGTGCGTTGATCTGCCTCTCCCGGAGTAAGATCCACACCATTGCTTCTCAGGTTGCAGTCTGTATTCTTTTTCTTTGTTCAAGTATACGTCTGAAATTAACGACTCCGAATCTTGCTGGTGGAATAGGATCCAGAACGTACATGGGTTTCTGGTTTTTTTTTTCGCTTTTAAGTTTTAACAACGATAAAAAGACTCCGATCCAATTTACCAGTTTGATCACTCAGTTCCGAATTCCACTCTTGATTTGATTCCGAGTCCCACCATCACTTTCGCTTCTATTTTGTGTTCAACTGAAATCCTGGAATCGGAGATTACATCCGTCGTCTCAGGATTCTTTTCTCAAAGTGAAACTCCGACACCAGGCCCATGTACGTTCTGGATCCTATTCCACAGAAAATCCAGACCCCCGGATTTCGTGTAGTGCACATGTTTTATTTTTGTTTTTAGGTAAAAACTTCAAATCTCATTACATAATCAAGTTTCGAGGCCGCGGACCTCCACATTATTGCGGTATCAAGGCTGAAAGTTGTCCCCCACCCACAATGTTACAGGCTGAGAGAGAGAGAGAGAGAGAGAGAGAGAGAGAGAGAGAGAGAGAGAGAGAGAGAGAGAGAGAGAGAGAGAGAGAGAGAGAGAGAGAGA